ATTTTGTATGTGAATTTTACACATGATGAAGGAGCCCAGAACGGGCCGTTTCGGATTCGAAACGGGCCGTTCTGGTCGTTTTAGATTTCTATAAATAGGACTTGTGGGCAGTTGAGGAGAAAGGGAGGTTTTAGAGAGAAGTTCTAGAGAGAAGGGCTCTGGACTAGAAAGCTTACTTTTGGAGGATTGAAGTTCAAGAGTCAAGCTTTGGAGGATATTTCTTCTTCTTCTTCTCAGATTCTTGGCTTTTCGAGCCAATCTTCAGGTGAGGGAAGCTAGAATGTAGGTTGTTTAATTTCAGGAGAGTTAGGGAAACTTTATGCATGGTGTTCTTTTGTTGAAATAGTTGAGTTATTGGGTGCTTAAGTTGATTTATGTTGTTTATATTGTGTAAGTTGACTTGATAGATGAATTTTAAATATGTTGTATATTGCTGAAGTTGTTTATAAAGTTGTTAAGTTGCATTAAGTTGATATTGTAATGACTATAGTTGTTTAATTAAGTTGTTTCCATGTTGTTAAAATTATTAAAGTTGCATAGTTGTATAAATGAATAAGAAGTTGTCAAGCTGGTATATAATGTATATTGTTGTATTGTTGTAAGTTGTCTATTATTGTAAGATGCCTATTGCTGTAAAGTTTTTAAGATGTCTATTGCTGTAAAGTTGTTAAAATGCCTATTGCTGTAAAGTTGTTAAGATGTCTATTGCTGTAAAGTTGTTAAGATGTTTATTGCTGTAAAGTTGTTAAGATGTCTATTGCTGTAAAGTTGTTAAGATGCCTATTGCTGTAAGGTTATTGCTGAAGTTGTTTATAAAGTTGTTAAGTTGCATTAAGTTGATATTGTAATGACTATAGTTGTTTAATTAAGTTGTTTCCATGTTGTTAAAATTATTAAAGTTGCATAGTTGTATAAATGAATAAGAAGTTGTCAAGCTGGTATATAATGTATATTGTTGTATTGTTGTAAGTTGTCTATTATTGTAAGATGCCTATTGCTGTAAAGTTTTTAAGATGTCTATTGCTGTAAAGTTGTTAAAATGCCTATTGCTGTAAAGTTGTTAAGATGTCTATTGCTGTAAAGTTGTTAAGATGTTTATTGCTGTAAAGTTGTTAAGATGTCTATTGCTGTAAAGTTGTTAAGATGCCTATTGCTGTAAGGTTGTTAAGGTGCCTATTGCTGTAAAGTTGTTAAGATGCCTATTGCTATAAAGTTATTGGGCCTTTGGCCCACGAAAAATGGGCTGTTACAACAACAATTATAAATTTGAATATAATTGAAACGTTGTATCTTAATATTCAAATTTTGAAGTTCCCTCTCTTGGTAATTGATTACAGGTGTTGGTAATCGATTACTAGAACATATTGTTGTATTGTTTCAAAGACTTTTATGTAGAAAACTTTTTATCAATAATTTCTTTCACAAATCTCTTTTAAGAAATGATTTGAACTATTCTTTAAAGCTTTTGTTAAGCCTTTCGAAAACATTTTTACTTACTTTCAAAAGATCTAAAAACTTGCATAAATTTAAAAGAGATTAAATTGAGATTTTTGAAAACTTATTCTTAAGGCCAAACATACTTGCAATTCTAAAAGATTCTTTTACATTTTTATCTAAGTTGACAAGACTTATCCATGTAACACTTGAGATCTTGTTCTTGCATCAACTTGCTTTAGCTCAACCTTGAATCTTCTTCTATGCTTTATAATCACTTTGGCATCATCAAAACCTTTTGTGCCTAATACCTTCCACATTCTCCCCCTTTTTGATGATGACAATTAACTGTAAAGGAAAAGAAAATAAAATAATGTATTTCGATCACTCTCCCTTAGTAAAGCATTGATTGATGTTATATTTATTTTTACAAAAGGAGTTGTACTTATGTTTTGAAAAGAAAATTGTAGAAATCAAGGTTTATATTATTAAACATAAATTTCAAGTTGAGCATCAAGATAAAATATTCGATTGCAAGACTTAAGTTCAAGATAAAAGACATATTATTAAACTAAGTTTTATTTTGTAAAACTTTAAGTTGAAAATTTTTTTGTAAAAAAATATTTTAGTCAAACTTAGCCTAAAGTAGTGTTAGACAAAATTTTCCTTTCCTTTGCGGTCCTAACTCTCCCCCTTTGGCAATATCAAAAAGAATATAATAACAATATTATCCAAAGGTAAAGAACAAGAAAAATATTAACCAATGTTAACCAAAATATTAAAGACATAACATAAAATCGATTGCGAATCATGGTAATAGTTTACCATTTTTCCAGATACGTACAAACATGTTATGGTAATCGATTACAGCTTCATGAAATCGATTACATGAGTTCAGATTGTCCATACTTGAGTAGAAGCTCCTAGTAATCGATTATACTACCCTCTGGTAATCGATTACCGAGTTGAAAATGGATATTTTTAGGTAGATTTAAGAGTTTATGTGAGAAGAATCAAGAATTCCTAACTCTTGCCTGATTGAAAAGAAGTTTTCTTTTGGTAAAGGCTTTGTAAAGATGTCGACTAATTGATTTTTTGTTTCAACAAACTCTAGAACACAATCACCTTTTTGAACATGATCTCTAAGAAAGTGATGTCAAATCTCAATGTGTTTAGTTCTAGAATGGAGTACTGGATTCTTAGAAAGATTGATAGCACTAGTATTATCACACCTAATTGGAATATGATCTAATGATAAATCAAAATCAGAGAGTTGTTGCTTCGTCCATAGATTTTGAGCACAACAACTTCCAACAAAAATCGATTACCAAAACAACTTGAGCAACTATGGCCATCACCATATCAACTTTAACGAATTCACAACTATAGACATCATTCATGCAACTTTACAACAATAATCATCTTGACAACTTTGAAACAACTTAATGCAACTTTAAATCTACTTTCATAAGCAACAATAACAACTTTACAGCATAAACCACTTATATATCATAACATCATCAATAATAGGCAACACACAACTTAGCAACTTTTATACTCCTTTAACAACTTTAACAACATAGTAACTTACAACTTTAAATCAACTTTCATATAGATTTCAACTTTATCAACTTGACAGTTTAATCTACACTTTAACCTTCAAAAGCAAAGAGTGAAGATTCTCAAATAGAGTTAATCACGGACATGACTCACCAGTCACGCTCGTAACTCTCCCAAAAAATAACAAAAAAAGATACCACTTCGATTTTTCCTTCAAAACTTGAAACTCAGAAAAATCCCAACACATACAACCATTCTCAAGCATCCACAACAACATATAATCATCAAAACAACTACATACATCAACATGCAACCCTAAAATCCAAAGACAAGCCAACACTACATATATGCAACACAAAAACTTCAAAAATACTAACATGCAACTCAAAATCAACCCAAATCATCTCTTTTCCAATACAACCCAAAAACCCACTTTTTACCCCTCATTCAATAGCTCAAACAACATGAATTCAACCCACACAACTAAAAGTGAACTTCCTTAACCTCGAATCAGAGTGAAACAACTCTGACTTACACTAGAAGGAGAAGGAGGAAGAAGAAGGAGTTTCGACTTTGCAACCCTGGCTTCACCACGTCCGAAAAAGAAGAGAACTTTGGGGAAGAACTCCGAGCTACCCCAGAATGAACAACGAAGAAGATGCTTGCAGACTAGAGGGGAAATGCGGAGAAGAACGAGAATGTTCCAAACTTGGGAGCTTGAGACTTCCTTTAACTAGTAATGCTCAGCCTTAGGAAAACAAAGAAAAGATTTTTGAGAAGGGAGAAAATGAGAATGAAGAAGAGATAACAAGAAATGAGTCCACAAGGCATCACAAGAAATATTTGTCAGAAAAGTCGTAATTTTCCCACGAAAAAAATCTATCAAAAATCAATAATAATTTAGAAGAAGACAGTAATTTAGGAGACGACAATGGCTATCCACGGTAAGCAAGCAAAAAATCAACCAAAATCAACTTACCACTAACTGATGTGTTCACAATGGTTATTATTCGAGAAATAACGAACAAAACTCATAGTTGCACACTCGATGCAAGTTTTTACGAGTACCATACGCACACAACTACTAATCAGAACCTCACGATGGATTGAAAAGGACTAACGAACAATGAAAACTAGGTATTCACAATGGCTATCCACGGTAAAAAAGCTAAAAACGGATATCAAAAGAACAATGATGCTTTTCAAAAGCAGTTAGAGTCACGAGAATGAATTATTCAAGGAAAATAAGATAAATGGGAGATGGGGTGTGATAACATGAACGTCCCATGGTTTAACAATGGACAAAAGAAGGTAATAAAAGTTTAGACGTTGGTTAAAAATCATCTATATCAAGTTACTACGTACCCAATTACCCATTAGGTCCACATTTCAAAGTTCAAAATAATGTGGTCATATATGTCACGTGTTCACACTCCATTTTCCATATAAATAAAGGGCACCCATACCTTCTTATCAAACAACACGTAAAAGGAAGTACCAAAAACTAATCGCTCAAGTGTCTAATTTTGTCTTTCTATTTTTCTTTTAGTGAATAGCAAATAAGTTTTTGGATGTCCCAAAATCACTTTAATAGTTAAAAAAGAACTATTCTTATTCCTTTTCCATTTCCCCCCACACTTCAAAATACAAAACATTTCCTTACTCGAACAATTTCCCCTTCCCTTATACATACTCACCTTTCATTTCAATCATCTACAAGAAGAATGAAGCAACACATTTCTTAATTTCTTTTACCAGTTGAAATTCACACGAATATCATTTTATCATAAACATAAATGACCCATCAAACAAGAGTAAGACTCGCAATTTCAACAAGATTCACTTAAATTTCACCAATAAAATAAGTATTATTAGAGAGTGTGTCGCTTTGCTAATTTCCCAATTGATTGACATTTCACTAACATAAGTAAACAAGCAATATAATAATTAGCAACATAATCTATAACATTAATAAAAGAGGAGATACTCTGAATTAGTGTCCTCATTCTTTTGAGTCTTTTTATTCTCTTAACTAATTTACTCAGCTATCTTACTCTTTCAGAGTTAATTGAACTTTTTTTTTAATACCAGAATCATGAACCGTCTCTTTTTAACTCGTATTAATAATGAAAACAAAAAAAAAATAAAAAAAACATGAAATGAAATAGTAGGCAGCATGCATCAACACCGCCATGCAGACGCAGCAACAATGGCTCTATCTTGCCAGCCAAGAAGCAAACAGCCTTTATCCTCGGTCAAGCGATAGCCCTCACACGAATACAACCCCAACAAAATCTTCGACTGCGTAACGGCATTAGGACTAAGAGCCATGCCCTTGAACCCCTTCCCCTCCATAATCTTCCGCCACTTCTCCAATCTCTCGTGCCGCTCGAACCTCGCCGCGCCCTCGCACGCCACGATGTTCCGTATCTCTGGCGCGAATATGTACTGCTCCACCTTCGCCCGCTGTGCTGACTCTGCCGGAAATGTCGCGTCCAGCGAGTCGAAGATTGCCGAGTAGTAGTGCAACGCCTCCAGAAACCTTCCCAAAAAGTAAGGCCCGTTGTGGCTCGCTTCTTGCTCCACCAAGGTCACTATGTTCGGTGCCTGGTCCCTTATCATGCTGAGCAAATTCCCGAGGTGGCTCCCAGGGACGCGGTGGAGGCGGTTCACAGCGTTCACGGCTAAGGCCTCGCCGACTCGACGATTCAGCATACTAGGTTTGAGATCTTCGAGTTGTTCCCCAACGGCGTGGAACTCGAAGGGGATGCGGAGGGAGTGTGCTAGCTCCGTCAGGCACCGCCCGGTTTCACGGACACCGTCTAGGGTTGGGCCCACACCGGTGATGCGGAGGAACGGGGCGCCACCGGGACGGGCGGCGAGGGCTTGCATGAAGGCTGGCCATTGGTACCTGTTGACAATTGTTAAAGTATCTTTAGTACACCCAAATGAATAACAAAACATATCTTAGAAACTAGGTTATATGTTTAGTAAGTTATAGATTTTTCATCACATTTATATACATTGTTATGATATTGATTTTAGATCATGTGGGATCTCCAATAAACAAATGATGAAAATAAGAGTCACGATTACGAACCCTTGGAGGATGTCGAGGTCGATGACATGGACGCGGTCTTCGGTCTCAAAGGCTTCGAAGATGGCTTGGTTGGCGGTGAAATGGGCGAACTTGACATAGGGGCAAGCTTGGTAGACGATTTGGTAGATTTTGAGGACTTCGAGAGAGTTTGAGGGCGAGGGTGGAGTGGGTTTTGAGGGTTTTGGAGTGAGGGTGGTGTTCAGTCTCACGCTTAACGAGTCGGTGAAGCACGCTGCCACCCGTTGCATGGAGTCACCGAGAGGGGTCACTACTCGGTTCAGGTGGTGCAGGTACCTTCTCGCTACCATGTATTCCTCTTTTGCCACTGCCTCAGCGCATGCTAGTAGCAGGTGCACCAGTTGAAGCCCGCTGTCTTGTTCCTGCATGTCATAAAATACTGCTTATGATAAAAGAATATATCACCAGATAATTTATTCTATATCTAAGGTCACCACTCACTTCAACTCTAAACAATTTAGTTAAAATAAAAACAAGCCATTATGAGATTTCAAGATCAAAAATTATTATAGATTAGTCGAAAGTCGACATATCTAATTTGAACCAAAATTTTATTTGTTGAACTGAAGATCATCATAGATGTCACTAGAGGAATTTCACGGTTTAGTTTAGTAAGATAATTAATATTATTTGAATTTGAAGGTTTTTGGTGAAGTGGGATGGAGGCAAGATTTTGTTACCTGTTCGATTCCTATTGGAATAGGCAGCATTAGATTCTCTTGCTGCTGTTTTTGTTGTTTCTCGTGGTAGCGTTCTTGTTGTAGAGCTTGTGACAAGGAGGCACTAGCCATGGACCCCATCTGGTGATACATGTCGCTCTCTTGGGAAATTTGAGAAGAGCGAGAGCCAGCAACACCACCGTGCACTAAGGTTTCATCTTCATGGTACCTTGAAGAATTTGGCATTGTCAAGCCATCCAACATGGATGGAATTTGAGACGACAAATCAAAGCATTCAGATGAACTTGCAATGTCAGAAGACACTTTGTTTGATGAATACCCTTGATAGTCCTCCAAGAACTCTTCTATTGCAGGCAGTGAAAGGTTCTCAACATGTTGCATGTATTGATTGTTTGGTGAGTTAAAGACCCTATGGAGGGGGCTAAGTCCTTTCCCTTTGTGGCTGCTATTGAAGGCTCCAATTTGGGACGATGAAAAACGAGGTGGGGAACACCCTGAGAGGCTCTGGCCTTGCATTCCCTGAGTGTAGTTGTAGTTGCAATTGTAGGAAGAGGCTTGTGGTGAAGGAACGTTCCTCACTGGGGAAGAGATCATGAAATCAGCATCTAGTTGGTCAGCGAAAAAGGACTCCCACATCGAACTATCTGGTGATTGAACTTCCACATCTCCATCTAAGTCAAATTTGAGTGCTGGAAGGTTTAAGCTTAATGGGGTTAAACTAGTGTCTAGATCAGAAGAGGATTGTGTGGCATTATTTTTCTTGGATTGCAAAACTGAGTCATTAGAAGATGTTTTGGTTCTGGAGTTGTTGTGCTCACTCTTGAGGGACACTGAACTTCCACACAACGAATTGATCATTTTTTAGGAGGCTCACAGGGAAAGGCAAAGCTATTATTGACCACTTTTGCTTTTGCTTTTTGAGTGACTCAAATTTGCTCTCATTTAGGAGTTTGGTTGGTTGGTTTATGGAAAAAGCAAAGTCTATAATTTCTCCCTTCTTATGGAGAGAGGCAGAGGAACAGAAGAGAACACCAAATTCCAATAGTTTGTGATTGGAGCTTTGTCTTTGGTTATCTCCATTCATGTAATGTCAAGAGTGTTTGCTGGATTTTCAGAGGCTTAAATTTTGTCATTTTTTCCTAGCTACCTGTTTTAACTAGTACCGTGTACGAACATTATACATTAACAATAACAAGGCTTTGGAATTCTTGTGCTTACGAAAGAAGACAAATGCATGGGTGGGTCCCACTTTCTTCGGGCCGGCCCATCTGTTTACAAGGTTCTTTTTATATTCGCCTGCGGATTCGTTGGCATGAAAGCATTGGCTCATGTTTTTTTCTTAAAACAAAACACAAAGGGGAAAGAAAGAGCTATCTTCCCACTATGCATTATATTATTCAAACAATTAAAAAAAATTATTTTATTTTCTAAATATTGTAAACTTATTTGTTTTACATAGTAACTATATGTTAATTATAGTTTCTCCATTTTTTTATATATAATTTTGTCCGACAAATGATTAAATAGTAAATGTGGGTACTTTTCTTCATGGAGATTTGAAACTTCATTCACCCAGGATTAGCTCACTAACAGCTTCCTTTCCATTGTGTTGAACTTATTGGACATGGTAAATTGGTAACTGTATTCAGTTGTTTCTGGATAAAAAATTTTAAACATATTTTCTAGGAGAAAAAATAATAATAATTTATTTGTGATGTATAATGTCATATTTAAAAATTATTTAGTAACTTTTTATATTTTTATTTGATTTAAATATGTTTTTAATTCTTATAAATTAAAATTATAATTTTACATAGACTAAAATCAAAATCAACTAATTTTTTCGGGACTAAAAATATTTTTAAGTCTTTTTATTTTATTTTTAAATAAAATTAAATAATGATTTTTTAATTTTTAAAATAAAATAACATTTTATAAATTCTTAAGTAATGATATATCCAAACATTTTAAAGTTATATAAATATTTATTATCATATATATCTAAATATGATAACTTATTAAATTTTAAACACTCATAATATAAATTCTTATTACATAATAACTTATTAATCAATTCGACTTGATTTTGTTTGTTTGTTAAAACCAGTGCTTAAGGTTTTAAATGGTTTAGTTAACCACTTTTACCAATGTGATTATTCATGAAAGTTGTAATGAATGTTTAGTAGCTAATCATATAGCTTACCAAGCTAAAAGTTAAATGTTAAGCACACTCTTGGTACCATTCATAGGGATTTGTGGATGTTGCGTTCAACATATATAACTTAAATGGCATTAGCAATGAACTCAATGATACCACTCATAAATACGGGTGACCATTAGGGCTAAGATCATGAGATTTAGGTTCGAAATTTCTGAAACTACAATAAACCTACAAGGCATTATATAAAGACAAAGGAAAGACAATAAAAAATCATAATATACATTTTGAACGTTCTAACTTTAGACAACTGCTAGGTTATTTTTAATATTGTTTTCATTAAAAAATAAATATATTTTCTTTCAATATTTTTCCCTTCACTTTGTATCACTATCTTTTCTTTTTATAGTTAGTTCTTTATTGCTTTAATTTCTACCCTTGGGAACAAACTATTATTGTTGCAGGAATTCCATTCCCAAGAGTAATCAACACCAATACCATAATATACAAACCCAATAGACCCTATATGAAAGGGAAAATGGAAAGTACTTGATCAAAAAATGAAATTGCTCCAAGGGTCATACGCTTGCAGATCCGAATTGAATTATATATCCTAATTACATTTATAAGTTCAAAATTAATTGTATTTAAAATAAATGAAATCCTAACAAGTCTTTAGTTGATTTACACTCTAAACTTACAACAGGAACAAAAATTGATAAAATATTAATACTTAAAAAAATTATAATGGAAATAAATTGATGATTTTAATTCTGCAATTTGACATAATAATGAAGATTTCAAAGACTAAAATGTTACTAATTAATACATATTTCAAAAAGTTTTTCACTAACGATTCAGAATGAAGCAAAATTTCATGAATCTGAAATATGTTTGGCTAGAAATCACGAGGATAAAATGTATTTATGTTTTATGACTTATCAAGAAAAAAAAAACTACAAACAGACGATTTGGAAAACTAAAATAGGTGTCTTAACGAATATGATGAAAGGATAATATTCATGAGTAAGCAAGGGTTTTCTTGGTGAACGATGAAATCCGATGTCACCCAAAAAGGGAAGAATTTCTTGTAGTGCTTCCTTTATTTCTTTCGCATTTTTTTTCTCTATTAGTTTTAATCACATACGTGAAATACCTGTTTAGCCTAAAAAAGTTTAGACCATGGTCACAGTCAAATGTAGAAGTGAAGGATTTTTCTTATTCTTTATACAAATGGCCAATTAATCATATATGATATGTATGAAAGGGTTTGTAATGAATAGGAGCTTTATATAAGGATTGGGGTACCCTTTATACTCCATATATAATATGGTATAGTTGACAGATAACCTAATTAATGTTTAAGTCTATAATTAAGAGTACTATCCCCTAAATTAACCAAATGATTAAGTTGCAAACTCAGTCTGAAAACCATTGTACTAGCTAATACATTGGTTCTTCGCTATCACTTATTAACAATCTTAGTCAGTAGCTAGATGTCATCCTGAGTTCCTTATAAACACTTACAATGAGGGGGGAAAAAAGGCCAAAATCAAAGTCTCAACACACCTTTAATTTGCAAATTGTCTTCAGAATCTCATTTTTTTATTGATTGACAATTTGTCATTCATTCCTATATAAAAAATGAAACAATAATAAGAGTTTACAAAGAGTAACTAATGTCCAAGGTAGAGCAATATGTAAATCGTGAGATTCAATTTCTATACGTCAATATATATCGTATAGTTGGAAATTAACTTACAAAACCGTTTATAATAATAATCCTCTTTTCCCTGTCACGGATTTTGTGACAAAAGAAGCAGATTTAAAAGGGCGGATAAATTGACCCTTAAATTAAATATTTGGCAGTGGAAATGGAGAAAATGAAAATGATACGTGGAAATGGTATTAATTACTAATTAAAGTGAAGTAGTTTATAATACTGTACTAGTGAAGGTCAAACTGATCACATTCTATCAGCATTAAAACTTGTTTTACGTATTGTTTTGATGTTCTGAAACAGATGCTATTTGGCTGTGGTTCTATTGGAATTTGTAAAAATGGTATGGCATACTCTCAAAGTGATAGTTCTCAGCATATATGGGTTCAGTTAAATAAATGTCATTATCCTCTCATACGTATAATTCGTACTATCCTCCATCACTGCATGATATTCATCATTTCCCACTATAGATATATAATTGAGTGAAGATACATCCTCCAAATCCTTTTCCGAATCATGGTCCGAAAATTAAAATATAAATATTTTTTAATAAATTTATTATAAAATAATTATTTAATTTAATATTTTATAATTTAAATTAATATTTTAATATTTTGGAATGTTTTTCGGAACAAATTAAGAATTCGGATGCTGTATCATTTTTCTTCTATATAATTAGGATTTAGGGCCAAGTCAAATTGGTTTAGATTTGATGGGCACTTCTCTCTCCCCATACATAAACATGACCCATTCTTAGCCATTGAAGACGAAAAGAGAGAGATTTTGGAGTGTTTGCTTCCCCTTTGTTTCTTTAGTTTGAACTGGGAATAATATGAAATATAGGTTATTTTAATCATTGAATAAGAATCTGTTTAGGTACAAGTTATAAGCTTTTTTTTAAGAGATTTTCTATTAAGAACAAGATGTATTTTTTAGTAAAGAAATTTTCAAAAGTGTTTGTCCATATTTAAACAGACTATAAGAGAAAAAAAAATTGATTTATCATTGTAGTTATTTTTTAAAAAAAAAAAATTATGATTTTAATTAATTTGATGTTATTGATGGAATATAATTATTATTATGACTAGTGGAATCGAGACACTCTTTACCTCTATATTATATTTAAAAAATATTTTTAAGAATTACCAACATTTATTAAACCACCTAGTATTGTAGTTGGTCCTTAAGCCTTAAGATTTTAAATTTGATAAAAATAGTTAATTTTTATTATATAAAATTTAAGGATAAAATATAAAAATATGTACACCAAACCAAACTATATGTATTATAGATATTTAGTCTTAAAATAAGAATATAACCTAACTAGAAATAGCTACATATATTAGAATGCATAAATATTATCTTATTTATAAAATAATTATATATTAATATTTATTTGACTTAAATTAAGTGTGAATATTTTTTATTTGGTAGGGAGAAAGAAAATAGAGGAGAGTAAGTGTGTAGAAAAATTTAAAGAGAGAATAAATGTATATAAAAAAAAGCAAGATAAATAAAAATTAACATATATAATTGAATGTATGAAAGAAGATTTACATAAATTAATTAGAGACATTATACATGTTAATAAATAAAAATATTGTTCTTACCGGAAATCTGCTGTGGAGATGATCTGTCGAGTAAGATTGGTGAGCCTCCTTCGCTAGTACGTTGGTGTTCCAAGATGGGGGTGGTACCTGCAAAAGAGACTCCGATGCTAAAATTAGGGTTTGTGTGAATATGAGTCTCGTATAAATAATGCACGTACCTTAGTGTGAGTTAGGGTTGCACTGGGCCTTGGGCCTAAGATAAGATATGATATGATTAGATAACGGATCTCATCTGGAGCGAGATCCCCTGAGATCGGTTATGATCTATTTAAGTGCCGATCTGACGTCACGCGACGCGTGCCCGAGATCGTCTTATGTTGTGATGCCGAGCTAGGAGCTCGGCTCTGGAGTGTGGATAGTACACTAGTCCCCCGAGCTCCGGAGACCGTGGGTCGAGGAGTTAAGATTGAGCTCGTCAAGTGGCTGTTGCAGGGACTTCTGAGCAAGTTGTTCCCTCTGCTGAGGTAGGTGTTTTGTGCTTTAATTTATTTTCTGTGTTGATTTGTCTTGGTTTGTTGAGGTGCTGTCTCTCTTTGCAGGC